AATATTTTCTGTTTTAATTCAGCCAAACAAACTGGCTCAGAATTTGCTGGAAAAGCCCATTCCTTAGCAAGCGAGATAAATTTGACTTTTCTCCTCAACCTTCAGTTGTTATCATTTTTGCAGCTCACAGAAATGTGAATTCATGGTGACTTGGCTTCATGGTGTGCCACCTCATCACCACCAATTCCTGTGGCTCCCAAATGTGCTAATAATGGTGGATGCTGGAACAAGGCACCCATGATTTCCAAGGAAAGTTGATTGGGATGTCACATCCTAACTCTAACCCTAACTCATGACGGGCCAGGACCCCTCAGCATCCACCATTATTAGCACATTTGGGAGCCACAGGAATTGGTGGTGATGAGGTGGCACACCATGAAGCCAAGTCACCATGAATTCACATTTCTGTGAGCTGCAAAAATGATAACAACTGAAGGTTGAGGAGAAAAGTCAAATTTATCTCGCTTGCTAAGGAATGGGCTTTTCCAGCAAATTCTGAGCCAGTTTGTTTGGCTGAATTAAAACAGAAAATATTGTAAATATAAAGTAGGCCTAAAAGAGAGAGACAGATTCAAACATGGGTCAAGTTCCTTCTTCAGAACTGAGAAGATGCAACTCAAATAAAATCTATCAGTCCTGTGCTCTGATGATAAACATTTCCAGCATTTATAGATTCTCTTTTTGATCCATTGTGCTTGTCGCATTCTGTTCTGCCTCCACTCATACCTAAGGACTTTTTGAAATGTGTGTCTATCTCTGATTGTCAAATCAGCCCTAAGGAAATTTGAGGAAGAAATTTGTCTTTGCTGGATTTTACCTTCCACTTATCATGCTCCCCGTCCAATACTTAGCTCCTGTGACCTCAACAGAACACAATATTACATGCGCTTGACCTTTAGCACACGCTTAACTCCACCACAGAAATTTGGTTTCTACCTCCCATCTATTCACTCCTTAAAATTCCCTAAACTGGCTACGTTACAACAATCCCATTTATTGGAGAGCTTTAAGTATCTCCTTCAGAGTTAAAATTGGACATTGGTAGGAACAGGGAGCATGAATTTTTCTAAGGACATTGGATCTGGAGATGAACTTTAGAAAATGGCTGGTGTACTATCCAACATTTCAATGGGTGCTGGCAGGGATAGTTCCTCACTGCTGTTGCAATCTCAGAAATTAAGTTAATAAATTAAAGCCTTGCAGTCAGTTTCTTTAATCTCAAAAGTTGTGAAACTGCCAGTCTCCCTCAGCCTTACCTTCTTCCCCCACTCCTTCACGTCACTGCTTATGTTTAAGCTTACCTCACCTCTCTCTCTCTCTTGCTCCGTTCCACTGTACTGCTGCCCTGCCCTTTGGGTCTTGGCTCATCACCATCATTTACTTATTAATTCAAAGGTAAATTTACAAGAAACTCCGGAATGGTGAAACAGAGCAATTGGTTAAGAACAATATTGTTTATCTCTGCCCGCGTCGTGCTGCAGTTTTGAAAGGGCTAAGCTGAAATGGCCTTGAAACAAACCCGGTTTCTCAGAGGTTGCAATCCACGTTCAATGTAAATCTGATTTGTTCATCAGGAGGAATTTGGCTGCTGTAGGCAGAGTGTGGTTATCGAGTAACCTGTGTTCTTGCACTATGCACCAACCAGTCCTTTACTAAGTGTAAATGTAGGTTGTTGTTTGCTAAGTGAGTGTTGGAGAGAGGTCAGGCTCTCAGTTAAATCTTACTTGTTTCACCCTCCTCAGCACACTGAGTGTTTTAAAGAAGAAATACTTCGCAGCAATGTCTTTCTTAAGGTCTTGGGTTAAGCTTGCAGCCTTAAAACACTAATTCTTCCAGTATGGTCAAAATGGTAATGTTGGTGAACCTTTACAGGAAGCTCACAGGAGAGTGTAGCTTATGCTAGTGTTGTGCAGTGAAATTCATTGTGCAGTGAACCCATTCACATTGCCTCACCTCCTCCCAGTGAGGCAGTAATGTCAGGATCAGGGAATTGGCTGCTTTTAGGGGTGAGGAAAGGAAAAGGAGTGAATGCACAACCACTTAACATTGTTTTTACAAACAAAAAGTAGTTGGAATTAATTGCAAACATGTATCAGTCATGGTCAGTTCTGAATGCATCTTACTGGTCAGAGAAACCTATGAGGAAGACCTTTGTGTTCAGTGCTCTCCTCTTGCTGTTAGGATTTGCACCAGCAAATCTATCACCACCCCACTCCCCACCCCCAGTTCCAAATGTTGAATCCTGTTTGTCAATCATCACCAGTGCTCTCTATGTGGCCTGCCTCTGTTCTAGTGCTGCTCTCGCAGTCTCTGTCCCTTCACAGAGGCATTTCATTTCACACTTGGACGATGCCCAGTCAGGTTCCCATCCTGTTCTGGAGGCTGCTTGTAGCAACAATGGTGTCCTTACTCTCTACGTGCTTCCCAGTCTGCTTCTGCTCCATCAGATCTACCTTTCACTCCCAGAAATACGTAAAATGTGAAGCCTCAGGAAATAATCTAAGAACATCCTTCATTCCTGCCTCCCAATCCACAGCCACAACTGTATTTGGAAGGCACTTTATAAATGGATGAAACATTTGAAAAAAGGCAATTCTCAGGAGCATTATCAAACACGATAAAACAATGACACTGAGATTTGTGAGTCAGATTAGGGCAAATGACGCAAAGCTTGGCCGAGCAGGTAGGTTTTGAGGAGCGTCTTAAAAGGGAAGAATGTGAGGTGGAGACACACTGAAAGACGTAAAGAGGGAATTCTAGAGCTTGGGGCCTAGCCATCTGAAAGTAGAGCCACCATTGGTGCAGCGATTGTAATTTGGACAGCACAGATGTCTCGGTTGTTGGCAGGATGGCAGGGGAGTTACGGGATTAGGGAGGAGTTAAAACCATTCAGGGACTTTGCATAACCACAAGCTCCCACCCAAAGAACACAGCAGGAGAGATATACACTCCCTGGCAGAAAGGGGAGGGAAGCTGATCAGATTAATATTACAGGCTGCTGCTGCATTCGGAAACTACGGATTATTGAGAGACAGAAGGATGCATCATGTGAATAGATGGAGTTTAGCTGCAAGATGCAGCTGGTGAGTTAAGTATCCGTCCATCTGTTTCAAACAGAAAGAGAAATGATCATTCCTACCATTACCTGCTCCCAAATGGGCAATTTCTCCTCCCCTCACAATCAAATATTTCCGCCTGAGCACGTTTTTAGATTTTCCCAAAAGGTGGCTATATTTCATTGTAGGTTGATTTTGAGCATTTACGGATAGTCCCTTAAGAAACAAGGAGCTGACAAGGTTACAACTATCAGGGTTAGAACTTACTCAGCACAAGAGGTGGAATTGTACTACCTGCTGCACGTAAAGTTATTTCAGATCTTAAATCACAGAATTGTCCCAGAGGAAAACCATTCAGCCCATTGCTTCTATGCTCGCTCTCCAAATGAGCATTTCAGTGCCATTCCCCCATCTGTTCCCTGTAAACCTGCACATTCTTCCTTTCCAAATAATAATTTCGTTCCCTTTCGAATGCCTGAACCGAACCTGTCTCCACCACCGTCTCCAGCAGCGCCTTTCAGAGCCGAACCACTTGCTGCGTGCAAACATTTTTCTCTTGTGTCATTTTCGCTTCTTTTGCCAATTACTTTAAATCTATGCCCTCTCATTCTCAATCCTTCTACAAGTGGGAACTATTATGTCCAGGACCCTCTTCAATTAATTTTAATTCATCAAAAACTGTTCAATATTGGAACAATACTGTACCTGATGTACATTTACACAGTTCTTGAACAGAAACCTATAAGCCTTTTATTATGCGCAAAAGTGTTAGGCGTGAGAATGGCTGCAATCATCATATCCACATCTCTTCAACTGTTGGCAGGCTATTCATCTATGGGAACCTCCATGGGCTCTGTGTTGGTTGTTAATCAGATGCAACTGTGTCCACCATCATAACTTCAGGTTGCAAGATGCATGTAAAAGTGCAGCTATGTGGATTCCTTGGGAGTGGGGGAGGTTGGTTCAGTTGGCAGGGTGGTTGCCGTGGTAAGTTTGGTGCCTATGGCACAGGATTTGATTCCCATTTTGGTCCCCTTCTTATACCCTCCAATGGGGAAGTGCCAAACATTCAGCCCTGGCTTCGGGCAGAGAAGGTGCTGCAAGTAACAGGTAGGAGAGAGTGTCCTGGCTTACGTTTTGCTCCATGTCCTTTAGGTTGTCACACTTTAGCTGCGATTAACTAAGCAGCACAGGGCCGGGATAGTTGGTGCATTAACAGATGACCATTTGGGCAGTGTGTGGTGGGGAGGGGGAGGTAGTTCGGGAGTGGGAATAAGGTAGCACTGGTTCCCTCACATGTGATCTGGAAAACCCCAAGAGTCAATTCAGGATTGCAATAATTTCCAGTTGAAAACATTGGCAGCTTATAGGCAGTCTGTACATGATAGCAGACATTTGACAACCTCAGAATACCCTAAGAGAGGCCTTGCAACACCAGAGCTGTCACTTCCCATGAGACAGTGTGAACATGGGGACCCTGGTCCACTGTTCTCGCACTCATCTACAATCAGTTAAAGCACAGGAGTGCCAAGGGAGCCAGGCGCCAAGCAACAATCATCATGGACACATCCACACGTTCTCCCCAGTCCAGTGCCCAATCAGGAGAACAGCCATCCCCACAGATCCTCAAGACTGAGATTGACTGATCTTTACAAATGTCAAAGGGTTATAGATCAACGGTGGGTAAGGGCGCAAGGTACATGTCAGGCATAATCTCAGTGAATGGTGCTGACTTACTAAATGGCCAACACCGCATGTGCTACATTCGGAGTTCTTATTGAAACAGAGATCAGGGAGCAGAAACCCAGAACAAGGAAGCTCAAAAAAAAACACAAATTAGGAGTGGGACAATGACGCACACACACAGTCGCTGAAAATCGGCACATTTTAGTGCTGCTAAATTTCAATTATTTTGAAACAAATGCAGAAGGTAAATTGACTGACCTGCCTGCATGACCTCACATTGGTGCCCAAAGACCTGTGTGAAGGTGGTGCTGTTTTCTGCTGGGCTCACAGCTGTCGACATATCCATGGCTGCTTGGTCTTTAGTCATGTATTGTGTGCTGCTTGGAGTTGTTCCCAAGGCTCCCCTTTGTCACCTCACCACACAGACTCTGAAAAGTTTTCTGGCTTCAGTTACAGGCCGGGAGAAGGATGAAAAGCTCTTGGTTAGTGGAGTTGCTGTAGACAAACACTGACTGATCCCTCAACACCACAGAGCCCGTCTCTATACAGTGCTCTCTCTCTCTCTCCTTGCAGGCAATCAAGCAGGAATCTCTCAGCACAATACAGCCTGCTTGCAGTGTGATACAGCCAAAACACTCAATATTCCAAACCTAGTAATAATCTTCTAACATTTTGGCAGTCAACCCTCAGAAATACATTCCTCTCCCTGGCTGCTCTGCTGTCAACATCCAGTAGGAGCTCTCTAATCCTCCTTCACTGCAGCCCAGAAATTTGACCTTCAGACAGGCTGCTTTCCCAATCAGTGTTTTAACTGGCCTTGGCAACAGTTTAAGATTAGCTCGGAGCTGAAAGGCTCTTCCAAGGAGGGAGATGATGCAGCAGAGAAGGCAGGTAATCAACTCAAACCGCCTGCTGCTCACTAACAACAGCAATGGCTGTCGATTGTAGCATCAGAGAGACCGAGAGAGAGGTGCAAAGTCAGTCAGATCTCACACCACAACACAGATTGCAGCTCCTGTCCCTGCAGAATCATTAATGAACGAAGAAGATTGAGGACAGCTGAGGGGATTAAAAGCTGCTGCAATTTTCAACTTCCTTTCCACTGATGTGCAACCTGTATATTTTGGGTCGATGGATGCATTCATGACAAATCAAAAAAGTGAAAAGTCAGAAGTAACCCTTTAACTGCTGGGTGGCTCCCCACACTAATGAAGCTTCTCCAAGTGTATATTAAAATCGTGTGCATTAGTTTAATCTGGGATGATATTTTTTGGTTGTACTGTCATGTCCCCACCCGCCAACTGTTGAAAGATTTGTACAGAGAAAGAAAATGACCCTCTCCCCCTCCTTCTGCAGTCCCCTACAGCACTACCTGCGTTGTGGTGAAATTTCAGCTTTTCTGCACGTTCACACTGCGAGTGTAAATGACAAGTTTTGTTTGCATTGGTTCTACAAACAATAACGCACATGGAATGATGAGAAACACTTTAACCATTCCCTTATCTATGGGTCTGTGCTCTGCTAAAACGGAGGTAGCCTACAAAATCTTTCAAAAAGGTTTCTTTTTAAAATTGGCTTCGAAGTGCTTTGGGAGATCCCGAGGGTTTAATACATAGTGGTCGTATTGGTAATATCAGTAGATTAATAATCCAGAAACTCAGGCTAATCCACCATGGCCGATGGTGAAAGTTTAATTCAATAAACATATGCAATTAAAAAAAAACTCACCTAATTCTAACCATTAAATGTTGTAAAAACCCATCTCGTTCACTAATGTCCTTTAGGGTGGCAAATCTGTTGTCCTTACCTGGTCGGGCCTATATGTGACTCCAGACCCACAGCAAAGTGGTTGACTCTTAACGATTAATGTTGGACTAGCCCATGAACAAATTAAAAATTTAGTTGTAATGCTATAGAGTTACTATTTTTCCCCACTCTGCTGAAATAATTTTCAAAGGAAACAGCAATGCTATAATTGGATTGCAGTGTTCCTCTGATCACACAGGCTGTACAATTTGGGGCCAAATCCAGGGCATCCTTCATACCGAACAATGTTTCACAGCTTTTTAGTTATTCTCTCCTGAGGAGTGGGCAATACTCCAGCTTTTGTCATCCATCCCTAATTGCCTTTGAACTGAGTGCTTGCTTTATCTCTCAGAATGCTTTAATTGCTGTGGGTCTGGAGTCACATTTAAGGACAACAGATTTCCTTCCCTAAAGGACATTAGTGAATCAGATGGATCTTTGTAGCAATAGATGATAGTTCTGCTTTCGCAGTTACTGAGATCATCTTAAAAGTCCAGATTCTTTTTTTCCAAATTTAAAATACCATCTATCAGGATTTGAACTCATCTCCAGAGCTTTAGCCTTGTTCTCTGTTTTACTATCGCTGTGCCACAACCTCCCCTCTACTTGAACATAGGTAAATGTGGGCCATCAGAATTGTAAAAATATTCATTCATGGGATGAGGGCATTGCTGGCTAGGCCAGCATTTATCGCCCATCTCTAACTGCCCAGAGTGTAGTTAAGAATCAACCACATTGCTGTGGATCTGGAGTCACGTGTAGGCCAGACTGAGTGAGGATGGCAGATTTCCTTCCCTGATGGACATCAGTGAACCTGATGGGGTTTTCAATAATCAACAATGGTTTCATAGCCAGCATTAGACCCTTGATTCCAGACCCTTTATTGAATTCAAATTCTACCATTTACCATGGTGGGATCTGAACCCAGGTTCCCAGAACACTGCCTGAGGTTCTGGATTAATAATACCACTGGGCCATTGCCTCCCCATTGAGAGTATATCCCTCAGTTGTGTTACTTCTCACTAGGCAGAGGTGACTTCACTTGCTCAGGCATTCTCAAAGAGAGAAGACCATTTCAGAACCAAGGATCTCTAAGATAAGAGCCAGAAAACCAAAGCTCTGCTTCCAAGAAGCTGGCAAGCATGATATGAAGGCCCTATTTTGTTTTAGACACTAGAGAGAGGAAAATGGGAAAGTTGGTTGTGGACTTGCAGCATCACTGCATGAAATTGCAGTGTCTACCGCACTTTGGCAAAGGTGCCAAGCCCAAAAGCAATAGTCCACCATGACACCTGATAATGCCACATGAGGCCACAGATTGGTCTGTTTAGCCATCAGCAAAAATGAACCACATGGAGGATTGTATTTGCTGCATACCCATCAGCCAGCACAGATGGAAAACTGCTAACAATGATAAAATAAATCTGTCAGTCTTGGCTTAACAGTAGCACTGATGCTCAGATTTAAATCCCACTCAAATATGAGCGAGTTATCTGGGTTACCACTCCAGTGCAATACTCTATTCATTTTTCTCTATTCATTTGTGGGATGTGGGCATCACTGACAGGGCCAGCATTTATTGCCCGTCCCCAGTTGCCCTTGAGAAGGTGGTGGTGCGCTACCTTCTTGAACCGCTGCAGTCCTCCTGCTGTGGGTTGACCCACAATGCTATCATGGAGGGAATTCCAGGATTTTGACCCAGGGATAGTGAAGGAACGGTGATATATTTCCAAGTTAGGATGGTGAGACCTGGAGGGGAAATTGGAAGTGGTGGGGTTGCACTGCATAGTCAGAGAGGGTTGTGTTTTGGATGAGACATTAAATTGAAGGCCCTTTCCAGTGAATGTAAAAAGAATCTATTGGCATTCCTTTCTGGTATTTGGGTCAATATTTATCTTCCACTTTAGAGGGAGGAAAACGCAGTATCTAGTTTACACAGTATACTGATTCCAGTTCCACAAACAGCAAACTCTCTGGTTTTGAAGAAGTGGCTTGTAATAGATCTGTCAGCTGAAGGTTTTCTCAGTTGGTCTGTGGTAGGAGCACCTCCCTTTCTTATCCAAAACCCAATGAGACAGAACAGAGACGGAGCAGATCTTGGGCTTATGGCTGGAGCTTCTGGTACTCACTTTGTGAATGTTGGCAGTTTAATTGTGAGTCCCATATCCCAGGGTCACAAGGTGTGGAGAGGGTTAGAGTTACGGGGCTGGATGTCTGTTCAGGAATCTAACCTTGGTGCCAGGTCTATTCTGGATCCTGACCTTAGATTTATTGCTGGCCAGTTAGTGGTCACAGTGCTTAGCATCAAATTAAGTTTCAACACACAAATCAATAGAGCTGTCGTGATTAGTGGACCCTCCCTCACATTGTTTGCTGAATAGGCTTTTTGTTGCTTGCCTGCTTGGTTGGTGGTTCCTCACTCTGCGGGATTCAAGATGCCCAGAGCAATTTATTAACATTTATGTATTTTCCATAAAAAGGTCCTTACTGGAGATCTGGGACATCACATTGGAAATGGGAGAGAAATTAAAAGGTGTCCACAGTCTTGGTTAAAGAGATTGGGTTTTTCAAGAGATTTGAGTAGTTGAAGAGAGAATTATGACAGGAAGCAAAGTTCAACATGGTCTGGCAAGACAACTAAAGCACAGACATTGACTGACAAACTTGGTCAGATAATGGAACATGCTCGATCTAAGGCCAGAGAAGTTTGGACAGGATCCAGAGCAGATTAAAAAGTTGTATTGAAGTATCAGGTCAACAAGCAGTCTATATGTAGTCAGTGTGCTAGCCAGTCCACCTACTGATGGTGGACCACAAGCATTTCCTATGCTATTTCAAAGCAGGATGGAGTCTGGTGAAAGGGAGCTAACCATTTGCAGAACAAGTCCCTTACTTTTGTTTTGGATCTCTGTTTTGATAATTACCAAAACAAAGAGCACCAAAACAATGGGATCATGCTGTGCAGTGGGTTTTGTTCATTGGGGGTACATAGAAAATAAAAACAGAAGAATGGACAGGGTGAATGTCAGTGATTGAAGTTAAACAGAAGAGTGAGATTTCAAAACCTAACTACAATTAGCATGAGGCATTACACAGAATGATTAGAAGGAAGTTAGTATTAACAATTGGGTACAGGAAAATCTCACAAGGGGTGAAACTATCAGAATGCTTACGGAGAAAAGTTATGATCACAGCTGGCTGATATCTACCTTCATTCAGGGACCTGAGAACATCTACAATTCACTCAGGACTTCACTGTAGGAAGATTATACATTGTCACAAGACTTAAGTTATTATCCTCTATCTCAATGGAATGGTTGCATTGCTAACTGTTGTCATAGCAACTTCTCTGTGACATTGCAGTGACCTGGAGGTGCCAGTGTTAGACTGAGGTGCAAAACATCAGAAGTCACACAACACTAGGTTATAGTCCAACAGGTTTATTTGAAATCTCAGGCTTTCAGAGCGCAGCCCCTTTATCAGGTGAAGTGAGAGAGCAGAGCACACAGACACAAAGTTTATAGGCAGAGAGATCAAAGGCAGAGAGATCAAAGGCAGAGAGATCAAAAGATTATACAACTGGTGTGAGTGGAGTGTCAGATGATAAGTCTCTGCAGGTGACCAAGTGTATTAAACGGTGAGTAAAGTGTCAACAGCTGATTAACCAGCGAAGGGATGACCTATAATCTGATTAAATGAGGCAGAGAGATAATTACAAAAAATCAAAAATAAGGTGGTGCTGGAGACAAACTAAATGACTGGACTAACATGATAAGTATAAGAGTTGCATACCGAGGGTCTAGGTAATCCAAAACTGTACAAACTAGTTAAGAAAGAGAGAACATAACAATTTATCAAGGTGATGCTGTCAAAACAAGACAGTAAGGAAGGTTTTACAGATACAGATATGGTAATATCTTGTTAGTGATCAACATACAAAGACAATGGACTAAAATGTGTCGAGCTATAATTTATCCTGAAACAGACCTGATGGTGATTGAATTGCCAATGTTTCTGTCTGGCAGGCACATAGACAGCTCCTGAGATTGGGTGATTTGATAGTACTGCGCTGGTTAATTGATAGAAAGCCTGTGGCTGAGCCCATGGACTTTATTAGGGACCCCCTCGAGAAAAATGAACATGTGGGGGAATATTTGGCATTAGGTATCAATGTGTGGACAGGATCCGGACTGGTTTGGAAAATAAGGAAAACCACCAGTTTAAACTGCCCTGCTGGTTTACATAGAAATCACAATGGAAATGAAAGGACAACTTTTTCCAGCAGGCTTTAATTAAGTTTTGCTCTGCATCTGCTGAAATAATGTTGTGGTGCTTGAACAAATGACTATATATGGAAAGACCATATATGGCTATTGAATAAATTGCTTTTCTTTCCATATATAGCCATATATGGAAGTTAATCAATGCATAGAAACCTCCCCAAATCCAGCCCTGGGCACAGCCATTACTGTGCTCCCACCAGTTTCAATAGCCAAGCTCAAACCTCCCAAATCCCAGGACTGTTATCAATAGGGCATCCAATTGGAATCAATCATTTAGGAAGGTCAGCTGGGGCCCTGCTTTTTTTGTTAGTTCTAATATATACAATTAATATATACAATACAGAATAGGAGCCCTATAGGCAAAGCTTCCATACATTCCACACAATTCCTGAAGAATTGTGGAAGCTTTAAGGCTCTACATATAGATACTAATAATAGAACCTTTCCATAAAAGTGCCCGATGGAGGACTATTCCGGTTCCATCCACATATGGCATCTTCCATGAAATCAATACTGTGGATTTCTAGAGATTGAACGTAGATTAATCAATAGCCATATATGGATAATACTGGAACATTCTGTATTATTTCAAATATGGACATTTCCAGAATGTTCCATTATTACCAAATCCAACCAGAACAGGACAGCATTGGTTCAGATCCATATTTTACCAAGAACGTTCTGGAAACATCCATATTTGGTAATGACATCCATATTTGGTAATAATGGACTGTTCTGGAAATGTCCATTCAGTAATGACAGAACATGCTGTTCTGCTTGAGATCCACACTTGGTAATAACAGAACGTTCTGAAAACATCCATATTTGGTTATGACGGAACGTTCTGTGCCTCAGAACAGAACGTTCTGTTCCATAAAAGGTTATATATATATTGGTCTCGATGGGCCTTCAGAAGGTAAAAATCCGTCAGTCATGGACCTTACCATATTTGGGTACGAGATCGGTGAAGTGATTGCAGAAGGCACATTTTCCGTTGTGAGAAAGGCTTTCTCCCACAAGCTTCAACGATCTGTTGCCATAAAAATTATTGATAAATCAAAACAGTCTGATGACTTCTTAACTAAGTGTTTGCCAAGGGAGGTTTCCATTTTTGCAGAATGTTCCCACCCTAATATAATCAAAGTATATCAAATCATTGATTCAAATGAACATACATTGTTTATCATGGAAGAAGCAAAAAGAGACCTCTTTGACTTAGTTGACTCTCAAGGTCATTTATCCGAAGAGGTTGCCCGACCATATTTTAAGCAGATTTCCCAGGCTTTGGAATATTGCCATATACATCATATCGCACACCGTGATATTAAGTGTGAAAACATTTTAATTACTATCGATAATATCCCAAAACTCACTGACTTTGGATTAGCAACTTGCATAAAAGGCTCAGAGAGTTGCCCATCTTCAACATTTTGTGGATCGGCAGCATATGCTGCTCCTGAGATTCTCAATGGTGAGAAGTATGATCCATTTAAGGCAGATATCTGGAGCCTGGGTGTTCTCCTCTATGTTATGGTGACAGGCTGCATGCCTTTTGATGATAGTGACCTTTCAAAGCTCAAGGAGCTACAGGTACAATCTTTTCAGTTTCCCCCATTCCCTTCCCTGAGTGATTGCTGTCGAAATCTGATTGACATAATGTTAGACAAAGACCCAGGAATAAGAGCTAATATTAATCTTATAGTAGACCATCAATGGCTTAGAGAATCAAATTAAATATTCATATTATATTTTAAAATATTAAAAAAAGGGCTCGTCCTCCAGGAATTGTTCCTGGAGGATGAGCCTTTTTTTTTGGTCGTTTAGTTTGGCCTTCCCATATTTGGTAAATCCATACCTTATATGGAAGTAGAGCCCATTCACATTGGGACCCATCCATACTGCCCCATTTTGTTTCATTCCATAAAATTCCACGTGGATCATCATTTCACTGAGACAGTATAGATGGGTCACAATGTGAAGGGGGCTCTATTGTAACCTCCTTATAAGGTGTGGAAGACTGAACTAAAACACAGAAAAATGAATTCATCCCATATATGGCAACAATCTTTTCCATTTTGATCCATGTGGAATTATTGGGACCCATCTTCCGGCCAATTAAGGGCCAATGAAATTGAGGTTCCAAAATCATATTCCATTAGGGACATGACACCAGAGGGGGTAATTTTGGAACCTCAATTTCATTGGCCCTTAATTGGCCGTTAAGATGGGTCAAATTTATGATCAAATCAAAGTGGTGTGATTACCTCCATCTCCATATTCCATTAGGGACACGACACCAGAGGGGGTACAGATGGAGGTAATCACACCACTTTGATTTGATCATAAATTTGATCATGATTTTAAAGCCAAAAGCTATCAAACTCTATTACCTCCGTGACTGCCCCAGTGAAATTATTGTGTTTAGTTCAGCCTTCCCATTATTGGAATTTCCATATAAGGTATGGATTCAATACCAAAAATGGGAAGACCAAACCCTTCCTCCAGCATATTTTTGGTCATTTACCATCACAGATTTTGCAAGAGATTGAATGTGGGAATGTGGATAATGATTTTAAAAACGGCTCATCCTCCAGGAACAACTCCATCCACATATGCAAGAGATTCCAACGTTCAACCTCTGCCATCCATTAATTCCATATATGGAAGTGATTGGGCTCTTTTTGAACTTCCATATAAGTTATGGATGTAACTACTTCACAAGGTGGTAAGGACTGCAAAATGAAATATGCCCACACATTTTACCAATGTTATGGGTACATTTGTTTAAATGGGCACCTTGGATATCATATACACTGTTGTCAGTATAATGGATACAGCAAATTTTTTTTAAGAGAATACAATATGAAGTTACGTACAACGTTTCCTCCTAAGAAAACCTGCCCATTTCCAGGTTTTAGTCTAGTAAACTTAGACAATGCTATCACTTTAAAAAGGTTATTTCGTCCTAGGTTTCTTTGAAGAGAGGAGTGTAAAGGCAGAGGTACTGAAGTGGCCAGGGAGCTAGCAGTTTAACAATGGAAGGGGAGCAGCCAGTTCTCTCAGTTCAAGTTTTTTCTAAATTTTTTTTTAGCCGTAGCAGTCACAAGATGTTTGAGTACCAGAAGGATTGTAAGCTTCAGTACATGATTCCTACTCTGAAATCCCTCTGGATTATGTTCCCTCCTGCCTGTAAGAATCTGTATTTGAATTTATCTTTTTGCCAAGGAATGTGTTTGTGGGATGTTGCTACATTGGAACAGTTAATTAGTTAAGTTGCTGTATCGGGTCGGTTAAGTTTTCTAATAGTAAAGTTACTATAAATTCTGCTTTCTTTTGCTCATGTTTCAACTGTTTTGTTTAAATAAATTCTGTTTTGCTTAAAGCTGAGTGGTTTGACCAGTTGCATTACACCTGGAATATCTGCCTTTAAAATAAGAAAATGTTAGAGTCTAGGCTACCTTCTTAAAATATTTTGAGGGGTCTGCCTGATCTATAACAATGGGTTTCCTAGCTATCTTTCCCTAAGGTATTTCATTGGACTTTCATTGGGAGACAACATTTGGAATATTGTAGTTTTGGGTAATTATGACTGATGATGGACAAAGTAATACAGAAATGCAGGGCAATGCTATTTATCCCAGATGATGACAACCAAAAGTTGTTATGGATAGTAGCTCCAACCATTTGCAGTGTGTTCTTTGCATAGCCTGCCAGGGCTAGGGCACATGTTAATTCATAACTTGGTTGGTCCACTAACATTTGTGGAGCATCTATTGTCATGTAATTTCTTTGTGGTCGTGAATATTACAACAGAAAGCACCTGTTTTTATAGAATTGCGACAAGGGACTGCCTATTCAGGGGCACAAGACAGGTGTCTCTGCAGCTGCGAGCGAGATCCCAGGACGGTGCGTTGCCTTCCTGGTGCCAGGGTCAAGGACGTCTCGGAGCAGTTGTAGCAATTTCTCAAAGGGGAGTGTAAGCAGCTGGACATAGTGGTACACATTGTTGGAAAAAGGGCCTGCAGGACCTCATCAAGAGGTCCTGAGGACATTACTGTAGAAGGAGTTAGGCAATTAATTCCACCCATATAGTTTCACTGGACAATCCTCCAGGAATATCCTCTCTAAATACTTATATAATGTTTTCTCTAATCAAAAACAACACTCCCCCTCTTCTTTTGCCTGCCCTTCTATCCTTCTTACAGAATTTGTACTCTGGAACATTGTACTCTGGAACATTGAGCTGCCAGTCCTGTCCCTTAGTTAGTTAATTAAAAAGCAGGAGCTGAAGGGTAATAACCTCTGGATTACTCCAGGTGCCATGTGCTCGTGAGAGTTGGAATGGGAGGATAGGGCAAATGAATGTGTGGCTGAGGAGCTGGTGCAGGAAGGGCTGGAATTCAGAGTTTTAGGATCATTGGATTCTCTTCTGGGGCAGAAGAGGCCTGGACAAGAGGGATGGGTTCCACTTGAACTGGAGGGGTCAAATGTCCAGGTGGGAAATTTACTAGAGCTACTTGAGAGAGTTTAAACTAGCCTGGCAGGGATGGGGCGGTAGTGATGGTAATTAGGACCCCAAACTATAGTGACACAAGAGAGATGTTTAAAGCTGGTACAGGTGTTAAATAGACCAGGCAGGCAACATCATGGCAGAGAACAAGGGAAAAGTGATGAATTAAAATGTATTTATTTCAATGCAAGAGGCCTGACAGGTAAAATGAACTAAGGGCATGGATAGGAACATGGGACTGGGATATCATAGCTATGTTTCTGTAATAGCTGAGGGAGGGACAGGACTGGCAGCTCAATGTTCCAGAGTACAATGTTCCAGAGTACAATGTTCCAGAGTACAAATTCTGTAAGAAGGACAGAAGGGCAGGCAAGAGAGGAGGGGGAGTTTTGTTTTTGATTAGAGAAAACATTATAGAAGTATTTAGACAGGATATTCCTGGAGGATTGTCCAGTGAAACTATATGGGTGGAACTGAGAAATAAAAAAGGGATGATCATTTTGATGGGTTTCCGTTCCCCCCCCCCCCGCCCTACAATAGTCAGTGGGGAATTGGGGAGTAAGTATGTAGGGAGATCACAGTTCTCCAAATATAGACTGGGACTACTATAGTTTTAGTGGCTTGGATCAGGAGGAATTTGTTAAGTGTGTTCAAAAAAACTTTCTCAATCAATGTGCAGATGGGCCTCCTAGAGAAGGGGCAACGCTTGACCTTCTCTTGGGAAATAAGGCAGGGCAAGTAACAGCGTGGGTCCAGTGACCACAGTTCTATTAGTTTTAAATTACCAATGGAAAAGGATAGGCCTGGACCACCAGTTAAAGTTCTAATTTGGAGCAAGGCCAATTTTTGTGGTATCAGGCAGGAACTTCAAGGAGGCTGTAGCAGGTAAAGGGAGGCCTGGTAAGTGGGAGGCTTTCAAAAGCGAGATAATGAGAGTTCAGGGACAGTATGTTCCTATTAGTATGAAAGCTATGACTGGAAGGAGTAGGGAACACTGGTTATACTCCTCTAGGGATTCACTCGATCCCAGCTGTCTATACCTGACACATGCCTCCTTCTTTTTCTTGAATAGAGCTTCAATATCTCTAGTGGTGGCATGTGTCAAGTGTAGACAGCTGGGAACGAATGAATCCCTCAGAGCGTAAGGGCAGTAGGAGAATACTCAAGAGGGAAATCAGGAGGGCAAAAAGAGGACATGGATCTTTAAGAGGCCCTGTTCTCTCCCTAATTACTGTTTTGCCATTAATATACTTGTAGAATCTCTTTGGATTCCTCTTAAACTTATCTGCCAAAGCTATCTCATGTGTGGAACCACAGGAAATGGGTGAGATCTGAAATGAATAGTTCACATCAGTATTTACTATCAAGAAAGACATGGCATCTAGGGAACTTGGGGAAATATCAATATCTTGAGTTCTGAGGAGGGGTCATCGGACCCGAAATTTTAACTCTCACAGATGCTGTCAGACCTGCTGAGCTTTTCCAGAAACTTTGTTTTTGTTCTAGATCATATGGGATCCAAGGAGAGCTAGCCAATTGGATACAAAATTGGCTCGAAGGTAGGTGACAGTGGGTGGTTGTAGAGGGTCATTGTTCAGACTGCAAGCCTGTGACCAGTGGTGTGCAGCACCAGTGGTGCTGGGTCACTGCTTTTCATTATTTATATCAATGATTTGGATGAGAATATAGGAGGCATGGTTAGTAAGTTAGATAATAAAACTGATGGCACAGTGAACAGCAAAGAAAGTTATCCAAGAGTACACAACACGATCTTGATCAACTTGTCCAGCGGACCAAGGAACAGCTGGATTTAGATAATTTAGATAAATGTTAGGTGATGGATTTTGGTGAAGGAGGGCCAAACGTAATGGTAGGACCCTGGGGAGTGTTGTTGATCAGAGAGACCTAGGTGTGCAGGTACATAGTTCCTTGAAAGTGGAATCACGTAGACAGGGTGGTGAAGGAGGTGTTTGGCTTCATTGGTCAGAAGATTGAGTGTAGGAGTTGGGACATCACATTGCGACTGTACAGGACATAGGTGAAGCTATTTTTGGAGTACTGTGTACAATTCTGGTCTCCCTACTGTAGGAAGAAGGTTTTAAATTGGAAAGGATACAAAAAAGACCTACAAGTAGGTTACCGAGACTGGTTGGCTTGAGTTATGAGAGGCTGGGACATTTTTTTTCCCTGAATCATAGGAGGCTAAGGGTTGACCTTATTGAGGTTTACAAAATCGTGAGAGGCATAGATTGAAAGCCAAGGGTAGGGGAGTCCAAAGCTAAAGGACATCGGCTTAAGGTGAGAGGGGAAAGATTTAAAAGGGACCTGAGAGGCAACTTTTTCCACACAGAGGGTAGTGTATGTGTGGAATGAGCTGCCAGAGGACATGGTGGTGGCAAGTACAGTTACAACATTTAAAAGACATTTGGACAGGTACAAAAGGAAAGGTTTAGAGGGATGTGGGCCAATGCAGGCAAATGCAACTAGCTCAGTTTAGAAAATCTGGTTGGCATGGACGAGTTGGGCTGAAGGGTCTGTTTCTGTGCTGTATAACTGTATGTTCTGGGTCTATACTTTGGCTATCTCATTGCCACTACCATTGAATCCTCCAATCTTTATGTTCTGCTGAATGGTTCAGATGGGAGATGAAGGTTACTGGGAATAAGTATTTTCTGATAATTTTTTTTTAAGGATTCTGACATTTGTTCCAAACAGGAGCTTCTTTAAGAATATCTAACCAGTTAATATTAGGACTCTATCTATCTTGGGCACCTTCAGACAATCCAATAATTTTAAAAGGCAAGCACTGAGGTAGGAATTGTGAAATGGAATTTTTGCAACCTCGCATATGGTCGGTTAAATTAGATATTCTTAGAATATTCATCCTGTTTTCTAACCATGCCTCATATGTATTTAGAAGGTTATCTTTCTTACCAATTGTGTCCATAAATTTTAAGAAAATTCCCAAACTTTCCTCTGGTTCCAAGTATTGAGACTCTAAGTCAGAGAATGCTTTACACTTGATCTTGCTTCCAATAGAACACAACAATATCAAGGCCAGAGATAATAAGGTGTAGAGCTGGATGAACACAGCAGGCCAAGCAGCATCAGAGGAACAGGAAAGCTGACGTTTCGGGCCTAGACGCTTCTTCTTTTTCCTTTGCTAAGGACCTAATCCAACTCTGCATAGTGTGCATCAAACATTGGTGGGAAAACCTATCCCAACCGTTGGTTTCAGCCATATCTAGAAAAAAGGTCCTCAGTTTCCAACTTTCACATTTAGACAACTATCCGATGTCACTTTGTGTTTTTACTGACTCTTGCATTTACACACACAACACAAGTGCTCTGGGGAAAACAGGCACTACTGTTGTATGGCAATAGTATAGGGGTATAAATAAATAAATAAATTTAAGTCTGTTGGTGAAGTAGGATGCAAGAAACTTATTGATGAGAGTTTATTGACTTCTCAGTCACACAGCTCATTCTACACCCAGTAGCATCTGTTGCCCTTTATATTAGCTCATTAATTTAGTTCATCAGTTAACTCTGTCGAGAAGTTTAACTTTTGATGTACTGCCCCGATTCATGTTGAACAGACCCCCTAGCAGCCCTCAGTATTAAATTTTTAATGGGCCTCCATGTTGTGAACATTTATTTCTCATTGCTCATCTGCCAAGCTTGGTAATATTGGCTGGTCACCCTGAGGGTTTAATCTATGGAATTAGTTGTTTCATTTGTAATATTAAGTGCGATTTGATAATGATTTGGCCTATGTGCTGCAGAACAATCATGGTAATTTGATGCATGCAGTGAAATGAGGTGGTAATCTTACCTAGCCAATACACACCTGGGCAAGTACGGAAATCGTTGTATCTAATTGATATCTTATGTGAAACAAATTGGCCTACATAAAGCTTCAATTTTAGCTAAACAATTGTGTACACAGTGTGAAGATGCAATCCTTTCAGAGAACTAATATATGCCTATAGCACTGACGATACTAGGGTACTAATTGGATGATAGGGTAAACTATTGCCATCTTAGAGCAAATATTTTTTCTCATCAAGGAATTGTGCTAACATTTGATTTTTTTTAAGCCAACTTGGAAGTCAATCCACTGAACTAAGAAGATTCTAACTTTCCTGTTTTTTTTAATGAATCTATTTATGTAACTATCTATTTATTTATACCTCTACACTACTGTCATATGGCAGTAGCGCCTATTTTCCCCAGAGCACTCCTGTTGTGTGTGTAATTGCAGGAGTCAGTAAAAACACAAAGTGAAACATAGTTTTATTTAGACATTTCCACTAACCAGAAAAAAAAACCCAGGCAGTCAGTGAACTAGCTCAGAAAGAGCAATGCTTGCGTGAAAAAGAAAGTGAAGGGGAGGGTAGGGATCTAATTAAAATAGAGTTGGAGGGGTCAGTGAAGCACTCCACAC